TTAAACTCTATATGGATAGAATGATCACATCTGTTGAACTTGCATTTCCAATGTAGATAAGACAAGGAAATTGGGTGCTCGGGCTTAACTAGGGTCTTGTCCATCCAGTAAATGAAAAAAAAACGTCACATCTTCTTGAAAATGATGTGGTAGATTTTTCCATGTAATCGTTGTTATTTATCTATGGCCTGAACAAGTTTCCTGCTGACTGAGTGCTTGGTGCAGCTGGACAAGGACCCGGAGCACTTCAATGAGGACGACTTGCGGCTGGTGTTTGAGTACGAGGCGAAGGTGGCGTTTCGTGAGGAGGAGCGCGACAAGTACCGCAAGATGCTGCACGCCGAGTACGCTAAGCTCTCCCAGCTTCTTAATGAAGGCATCGTCAAGTTTAACCATAAGGTAAACTCATCTCTGCTCACGTTCAACCTTGAGGGATCATCACTTTGTTACCTCTTTTTTATAGATTGTAAAGCAACATTTTGGGTCACAGGTAAAAGAAATGTGGCTTACAAGATTGAGAATCGACTCGGCGATCGGACAAGAAAACTTAAACCTGATGCGACTGCGGCGGACTAACTTGGATCGAATTGAATTGTCTGAAGAAATAGAAGATATGAGGTTAACTCATTTTTTTTACATAAACCTGTAAAATTTATAGGAACCTACTTAATAAGTTTATTAGTATTTAAGAACATAAAGTACTAATAGACCTTTTATTGTCAGATTTTGCTAAGACTCGAGTATCTTTTTTAACGTATTCTATTATTATCAAAGGAGAGACATAGCGCGATACGAGTCGGAGATAGAGATGCTGCAGGGAGAGAGTCAGCAGATCAGTGTGCAGAGCGAGGAGTGTACGGCGGCGCACGAGGCGCTGGTGCAGAAGGACCGCTACTTCGACAAGACCTTCAAGAACCATTTCGCTGATCTTTCTCCTATCATTGTAGAACAGTGCTACAAGTTCTACAAGTGAGTAATCAACATTAACCATACTTACTGTAGACCAACCGCTGAATGTTTCACTATTTCATATGTGCATGTTCAGGAAGCGACCGAAGTGGCAGAACCGCGCAGGTTTGAGCGCGAGCGTGCTGCAGGAGCTGGCGGCCGCGGTGCTCGCCACCACGCGCCCGCCGCTGCTGCCTCCGGATGCACTGGATTTCTTACGCGCGTAATTACTTCCCTTAGTATTATTGCGCTCCTAATGGCTTCACTTGAATGTCCGCGGTTACAATTGTTGAGTTTCCTTAAGGTTGGAGCAGCTGGACCTAGTGAGCAACATGCCGCCCGTCATGGACGAGAACCTATGGACCAATATGTGTAAGCTGCGCCGCGCCAAGATCGAAAACGAAATGAGGGTATTGGGTCAAAGATTTTTCGCCTGTTTTACTTAAAACTAGGAAACTTGGCCTACAGCTGTCATTGTATGCAGATGCGAGCGGCGGTGCAAGAGATGGCGCTGGTGGACAGCACGGCCATGACGTGGGGCAAGGCGGCGCAGGCGCGGCGCACAGCTCTCACCACTCTGCACGAGCGCATGGTGCAGCACCGCCGCAAAGTGGAGCTGCTCTCCAGGAACAAGACCATACAGGTGATGGACAATGCAGGATATACTGAGATGTTTACAGCAGAGTGGGTTATTTGTCTTATCCTAACTGATATTTCTATACTTTTATTGTTAGTGCCATTTATTTGCAGTTGGTGCTGCCTGCCGGGCAAGTGGAGGTCGTCACGACTGGCCACATGGAAGACTTCGATGATGCTGCTCTCATTTTACGCGAGGATATTGAACGCATCAACGAAGTTATTCTGGTAAGTCGTACAGAAACAATTTAAAAAGAAAGATCGAAGGAGTAATGCCTAAATATAGATATACATATACATTAAGTACATACAAGTGCTGTAACTAGTCTGTGATGTGCATTGCAGAAAGTTGGTGAAATGAAGCTGAACATGATGCGGAGGCAGATGGAATACCGCAAGGGCATCCTCGCTAAGGAATGGGAACACGCGCAGATGAAGATGAAGCTGCGTCATATGGAGCAGGAACTGTACTCCTATCAACGTCTTAAGGTAATTCAAAACGGATTTGAATAAAAATCGTGAACCAGTTCGTAGAACAAATTCTTTGGTTTTGAACAAATTGGACTTAGGTTTTGGGAACATGTTATTGTGCTTTCATTAGTTTAGAGTTTTTCTCAAAAATGTTTCTTAGCTTGTCGTAAGTATTAAATACGTTTAGTACCACACGAAAGCGTCAGAACATGTTAAAATAAAGTCCTTTAATATGGAATTGCGTATATTTGTATAGATTCCGAAAGAGCTGCAGCTGTACTTGAAGAACAAGGAGCTGGGATGCACGGACGAGCAGCAGTACGTGCGCATGGAGCGCGACATGGAGGCCAGCCGCCGCGCCCTCGACCGCAACCTCACAGAGCTCATCCGCAAGCACGAGGAGATGGAGGTGATTACATCATACATTACTAACTTCACAATTACATTTGTCCATATAAAATAACAAGATATAAGAAGAAATAGATAGAGAAGAAAACATCGATACAAAAAGAAAGGACACGAAAACTAATCATGAATGAATGTTTGCACTCAATTCTGATTTTCAGCTGAAATGCACGGCGTTGACTGCAGACATTGACAAGCTCAATCAAATCATAGCAAAACTCAACCTGAGAGTGTCGGAGAAGCGTCTCTCCGAAGACCCGCTGCAGCCGATACGAGTAAGGAAGATTTTCAAGATGAGGTGAGTGACGATTGTAATTCAATAGGTCCGGTCCATCCATAAGTGCTTCCACAGAAAAACTCTTCTTATGTATCAGAATGGAGACGCTGGTGGCTCGCAGTGAGCTGGTGCGCGAGGTGCAGGCTCAGCACACGCAGCTGGTGCTGCTGCAGACGGAGCTGGAGTTGCTGCGCCTGCGCACCTACCCCACGCTGGCTACGTTCCGCACTATACCCTGAATGAGATGTTGTTGCTCTGAATGAGTCATTCTCTTATCTATTGTTAATCTGATCTTGTAAGAAGTCTGTAGCTCTAGTTTGAATTTTGTTCAATTTGAATAATGTTTTCGTTTTCTGTAAGACAACTGTTTGTTTATTACCTAAAGTTAATAAAGTTTTAACTGTACTTTTAATTTAAAATAAAGATTTTTTTTCATGTATCGTACTTCAATTTATAAAATGATACTGCCTTTTCGAACTTCTGAGCTGTGAGAGAAACAAAATCAACAAAGTAATAATCATCATCATCATCATCAGCTCACTATACGTCCCCACCGAGGGGCTCGGAGCCTACCCTAAGTTAAGGGTGATTAGGCAATAGTCAACCACGCTAGCCAAGTGCGGGTTGGTTGACTTCACACATATCTTTGATCTTCTTATCAGATATGTGCAGCATCACCACGTTTTCCTTCACCGTAAGAACGTCGGATAAATGTATATATGTAAATCGGAAATCGAAAAACACATTGGTATATGGCGGGATTCGAACCCAGAACCTGCAGATTGCAAGTCAAGTGCTTGACCACCGAGCCACCGACGCTCTAAATAATAATAGCGGGTATAAATTACAACACAAACGCAATGAGCATACAAAATTGTTATTTACCATAAACAAATGTATTGTCAATACAATATATTGAGGTCAGTACACATCCATAGACAAACAAGTTTAACACTAAGACGCGACTCTTCTTTCAATATAATACAATTACAAACACTTACAAATTAGGAGCAACATAACTGACTGACGACACGATAACTAACGCGTAAACCACGCGCATGTTTCTGTACGCGACTGATCATATCAAAGCCCATCTTTTAATCTGCACGAAAGCGAAGTTATTGAATTTGCAATTTGACTTTGGGTAAATTTTAATTCGATAAGTCTATAAAATCAATGAAATGTTGACAAGTTGATAAAGTACACTTATAAGAAAAAGTATGTTAAAACCTAAATTAGCATGTTTAAATAGAAAATATCAGTCTTGTCAACGTGATGGTAATTTGCGAAGGGGTAGAGTCAATATATAAACAAAAACATTTTTAAAAATACAAACTGGCTCTTACACAACATTATGTAAATTTTGCCAAGGGTTAAAAAGAAGTTTTACTATCAGAAATGTTAGTAAATATACAATTTCGCATTAACTAACAGCTAGGATATTGCTTTAACTACAAAGCTGTGTACAGATTCAGGCGACAGATGCGCGAGCCAATATCTTTACTCAGCCACTAAAAAACCCGTGCGAACAAACGCACAAACACACAAATATCAACAACATTAACTAGGGAATAGCTATAAAAATTTCAAATCTATTTTAAAAATACGTCCCCAGTGTTTATTAGCTCTTTTTTCTAACGTTCTAGATATATTACGCTGAACTCATAGATAGAATTATTTAATTTAAAAAACAACAGGCATTTAAATAAACAATATAATATTTAATATACTTATTTGGATAAAATTATTGAAGAAATTTAAATATCTTTAGCACCGAAATACATGAACATTAATACATTGGTATGAAACAGTAATCCAAAATAAATCTAAAGGTGATTCTTTTAAAGATAGCATAGAATATATTAAAGGACAGAGGTGAAATACATTTAATGTAACAACATCGTTTTCTCGCGACTGTACCAAATTGAATTTATTTAACATTATTAATTAGGCCACAATTTCGTTATTAAATTATATCACATAATATCAATCACAATATGCTAATTCAAACTGAATTTTTAATTTTGTTATCGTTAAGATTTACGTATGTTTTATTAGCAAAACAAAAAAAACTTTTGGCGCCATATTTTAGGCAAAGGTTAACTCGACAAACAGCCAATACGACGCGGCTATAAAATATTAAAAAACAAATACTTGGCATTGCTCTAGTACTAGGATTTGATTAGGTTAGTAACTGTTAATAAAACATGCATAGCTCTCAGAATCTTATTATGATATTTTAAGATAAAATGTTCTTAAAGACAACCAAACATCTAAATGTGTGCTTATTCTTACGATTATTTGTATAGGTCATTTTACAAATACTGCTACTATTGATATGTAGGAGGAAGTACAATAGCGGAAGAGAAATACACAAAAATTATAATTGAGGATTCCCTATATCTGGGGATCTTTACCATATCGAAATTCTTCGAGTTTTGTTACTACATGTCTGTCAGATTGACAGCTGTCAAAACCAGCCATATAGTGGCAACTGGTAACCCTTGATATAGTTCAAGTCGCAAGTTCAAGAGAGATCAGCCAGATGGTTAAAGTGCGGTCCTCTGGTCGTACACAATGACTGCATCTGCGTCGAAAAACTGGCTGTGCGACTTGCTGAGCGCGATGATGGCCGCGTGCTCGCTGCGCATGCGGTTCTTGTGCTTCTTGCTTAAACTCACCTGACATAAGCAATGCTTTACTGGTATATGTTAATCATTATAGTTATTCCTATAATTTTGCTCACTGTACTAGCATTTGAACGCAATAATAACAAAATTTTGTTGATATGAGCAATCTATGTGACTTGATATCCATAGGCACATGTCAATGTTGGAGTATTGTAGGGTACCTTAGCGTAGAGCTGCTGCAGGTCATCCTCGGTAGAAAGCGGGCGCGGCTTGGGTCGCAGGAAGGCAGGCAGGGAGCGCGTCTTCAGCGCGTCCATGTTCACCCCGCCCTCGATCTCGTCCAACACTGTGTAAACGAGTAACCTGTTCATACCATAGCACATAATAGTAGTCAGGATACATGAGGATGAAATGTGTATACTGACTGCTGCTGGAGGCGTACTGCGCGGAGACGTGGTCGCGCTCGGGCACGCGGTTGACGTAGCAGTGCGCGGGCGCGGGCTGGGGCGTGGTGGGGTGTGCGGGGTGTGCGGGGTGCGGCGCGGGGGCGTGCGTGTGAGAGTCGCGCGCGCGTCGCCACTCCGCGTCACCAGCGTAACTCGCCGGCCGGCTGTGTCTCTGTACCTGCACCTACATAATGTTCTTGGTACGTCAACTAAAATTGATGACCAGTTGGATGACCATGTAAATCACCGGGCAACTTGCGGAACCTCGGCTCACGTAATTGTAACACAACTCAACGGTTCGCGTCTATGTGATCTGAACTTTTTAACCGGTTTACAGCTGATTTACAAAAGTCTACACATGTCACTAATGACACAACCCTGCTACGTTAACGTTAACAGACACACTTTTCGATGCAATATTTTTCTGTCGCCAAGTATCGTAATATGACAAAATCTAGCACCGAAGAGATGCCGCCCCAATGCTACTTTTTTTTTTGAGCATCCATTTCCTCTCCATTATGTTATTGTAATAATGTTAATTGTCCGAAAATTATTAACTATTTCTTTCTAATTATTTAAATTGGGGATAAAAGTTAATACAGAAAAAACTACCTTAAACGTATTTGAGAAAAATAAAAGATTATAAACATGCGTGTTACCTCTGCATGTTTTATTCTGCTGTAATCTTGATGAGAGTATCCATGATCTTCTTTTATAGTGTAAGTATTTTTAAGGTACTGTTCGTCTGAAATAAAATATGCGTTAGTTTAAGCCATGTAAGTATAATAACATTGTACATAATATATAATTAAAAAAAAATACCGAATGATTTCTGATGGCGCGGCATGAGGCGGCAGTAACATATGATAATTAAGAAAATAACAACACCACAAATGCCACCAACAAGCCAAGACAACCAAACAATTATGACTCGACCCTGGAAGTAAACAAAGAAACAAAAGTCACTGATCGCTGTTTCTATTTTATTGATTTTACTTCGTACTTTTACCTGCAGAAACATTTCAGTTTTTAACAATAAAGCGAATTCCGCTTGCTTTTGTTCCCTTGTTATTGATTATACCTAACATTTTATTGATTAACAGTATCAAAAGTCTATAAAAAGCGCTAAAATGTTACAGTATAAAAAGAATCTTATTAAATGATTCACAGGTTTTCCATTTTTAAAATATTCACTTATGCGCGCCTGCGCGTTTGGAGGGAATTGTTTGACGTTTGCTACTTTGCTGCGTTGAGAAATAAAAAAACTGAAATCGACTTTTATATCAAGTCCAAACTAAATATTTAAAAAACTTAAATATCATTAGCTTAGCAAGGCAATGAAACTAATTAATTTAACGAGTATTTAGTCGTATAGAAGTATTTAAACACACTCTTCGATTTGAAATAACTTACTCGTAATTTTTAGCAACTGAAACTTGTTTCTGAACGAAGCCAATACGTTCCGTTAACATTTTAAGTGAAATGCGAAGTTGCGTTCTGACAAGATGGAAAAAATGCGTTACTGATACTTTAATTTTATGATTTACATTAGGAATTAAGTATATGTATATGAAAAATGAATGTATGTAAATTACATGCATGAATAGTATTTATTTAATGTTTTTATTGTCAGGGTCAAAATATCAAACATTAATTTGAAACGGAATGCAACTTCGATTTTAAAGGTTACTTGCTTTTACTGGTTATAATAATATTGAAAAATTTGAATACTTATTGCGCCAACTTGTTTATGTAAACAGAGACACAGCTGACGCTTTTCCTGATTTTGTCTGTTATCAATAATGTTGACTACGATACCGCGACCGTTCGCATCGGACGATATTTAACGTCATTGGGCATTTTATACTGTACCTTGACAGTATCGTTACGTATAAATCAAAAGGAAATTAATAAAGTAATTAGTGTATGATTAGCTGAGTAAGGTACTGAATAGTAATAATACCGATCATGGTAAAAATGAAATTGTTTTTTGCACTCGGACTATTATTTAGCTTTCTTGCGAAGGATTCCTTGGGATTATCGCCGGTTATATTAAGTAAGTACTTAGATGTAATCGTATTAATTTCTTAGCGAAGCATATCTAGTAGCATTGTCATATAACAGCAAAACAATTATATCACTTGTCTTAAAGATTAAATAAAAATGCAAATTAAATTAAATTTATTATAATTAAATTACATAGCTTTTTATTATTGAATAGAATTTTCTTGAATTCAAAAAAAAATACAGTTCGTGAGATACATTAACAGAAAAAAAAGTTTCGCATTTTGTACTTTTAAGAATCATTTTATCCCATTTCAACAGTACCGGGCGATGGTGGAAGCCAACTTGAGGCAAGATTAAATAAAACCAATGTAGTGCACTACATTTGTGCTAAGACGTCTACGGATTACTTCAACATATGGTTAAACTTGGAGCTGTTGGTACCCTTTGTGATCGACTGCTGGGTGGACAACACAAGATTGGAGTATGACAATGTAACAAGGACCACCAGGAACCCTGAGGGTGTAGATATTCGGGTTCCGGGGTGGGGAAACCCGGAGCCAGTAGAGTGGCTGGACCCCTCACACGACAGTACTGGCGCATACTTCAATACAATTGGCGATGCTCTTGTTAAACAAGGGTATGTTAGGAATGTATCTTTAAGAGGTGCCCCTTACGATTTTAGAAGAGCACCAAGTGAGTATTATTTTTTTTTAATTTTTATTTAAACATAAAGCAGCATGGGCAGGCTTCCTGCAAGATGGACTGATGACCTGGTCAAGGTTGAGGGATCATCTTGGATGCAGGTAGCACAAGACCGGTCATCGTGACTATCTTTGGGGGAGGCCTATGCCCAGCAGTGAGCGATTCATGGCTCACAGGAAGAAACATAATTGCATATCCATACCAAATAGTATTATTAGTATTATATTTAATTCACAATCAGTTGTCTTAACTTTATTTCAGATGAGAATGGTGAATTTTTTGTCAAACTAAAGACCTTAGTTGAAGAAACATATACAATGAACAACAAAAGTGCAGTTACGCTGCTCGTACACAGCATGGGCGGCTCAATGGCACTGCACTTCCTACGGCAGCAGAATCAGTCCTGGAAGGATCAGTACATCCGGAGGCTCATCTCACTCTCGACCCCCTGGGGTGGGGCGGTTAAAGCACTTAAAGTGTTTGCTATAGGTGAGTTATTTAAAACAAAAAAATACTCCCAAATTACTCACTACAGCATATTTAGCATATCAGCAGACATTCTGGAGATACCTTCTAACAAACATCCATCCATCCGTACATCCAAACATTCACATTTATAATATTAGTTAGATTGTACTTATGCAACTCAATTCCAATGCATGTATATGAACATTCAATTTTCGTTTCATAAACAACTTGCTTTATTTTTAAATTCCATTTCACTATGGACACTATAATGTATTTCAAACACAGTACAGTTTTTAAATTAAACATAATTCTTTTATATTTTTACACTTGCAAAAAAACAGGATCAGTGAAGAGTAGAGAAATCAATACAGGCTTACATCACATAGTTGTTACATTGAGAAATCTTGAAATAAAAAATATATAAGTGTAATCATATCATTTTAACAGTTAAAATAATCTATACTAACTATATGGCAGGCTTTAGCATAGTTTAAAGAAGTGATTTTTTCGCGATATCTGCTTATGGAACGATGTTTTAATTCAAATCGATGATCAGCGGTGGCGTTATCAATATGCTGTTTGAAAATGTTTGCTCTGCAGAAATGGATCTATTTTTATGAAAAAATCATACATTTTCCATACGTAAATCCTTCTTCAGATTTTCCGGTTTGCTTGAAAGTTGCAAATCACTGCTTTAATAAAAACAAAACAATGTTGTCCTTTTTTCCTTATTTTGTCCTTGTTTTTTCCAATAATCGATGACTTTATTGTGGTTTGTTTGTTGCTGTTTTATATTGTATTGTTCTTAAGATGATTGTGCCATGACACAATTATATATAATACGAGAACATATAACGATATATCGTAATATGAAAAATCAAAGTCTAAAATGTGGAATCTTCATTAAAATAGTATAAATGTTTTCACATATACTTACGGCTCTTATCTTTGCGCGAATCGCTGCTCAGAACACATCTTTTGGTATAGGGTTTAGGGAGGGCAATGAGATTTGAGCTGCCAAGATGTTTGAAATGAGCTATACATCGAAAATAACCAACAATCTATGTTCATAATTACAATAATCTAAATCCATTGCACAGATTGTGATAACGTGATTTATCATGTTGCCGAGTGCGAATACAACAATGAATCGAATAATACGTCTTACACTAATATTCCCGTCCTTGTCATTCTCTTAGTTCAAACAGAGATAGTAATAGTGCTTGTATACAACTGTCACTACATTTGAAATTTGACAGGAAACGACAACTGACGATATTAATGTCTTTTTATTGTTAAAATATAAAAAAAAATATATTGTTATCTCTGCTTTTGCAAGGAGAAAGATAGGGACAAGATGTGCTTCGGCATGATGTGATGTGTGTGTGATTTTTAGTGGAAACTCACAGTTACGTTTAATTATTTACATTTTACTAATATTACAAATGCGAAAGTTTAAATGGATGGATGTTTGTTTGAAGGTATCTACAGAACAATTAAACGGATTTTGATGAAATTTTGCACAGATGTGAATCTGGAAGAACATATAGCCTACTTAAGTTTTTTTATTACACGCGCACGGAGTCACAGGCAACCGGTAGTTTTAAAATAATTACACTTTCAACGTTTGTACGTTAATGATAAACACATATGTTTAACAAAACTATCAACAATGTAACTAATTTATTATTTATATTAATTAGTTTGAATTGTCGTTATAATGAGTTTATCGACGCAAAAAGAAAATGATTCGAAAGGTTAAAAAGAAGAAAAATCTGACAATAATGTTACTACTATAATACTCAGAATATGGGATTCAAACTCAGAATTCAAAGGGGGGGGGGGGTATTTTGTTATTAAAATTTATCTTTAAATACTATCAAAAATCTTTGATAATACTTTAAGAATGTTCTAGGTTTTTATCAAACTTTTAAAATTAATTTTTGATAACATATTTATATTTATCGGGACATTTCCGAATTTCAAACATAGTTTTTTCTTTCATTATTGGTCGTCAGAGTTAATAGTTACAATCTTGTTACAAATAAGAATTGGTCGATTTACACACTTTTTTCAACCTAAATACATTGCCCTAGACTCTGCAGCATTGTGTTTAAATTTCAATAGTAATTAATTCCTTTTGTTTTTAATTTGATGATGTATTGTTATCGAAAACATATGTGCATATACAAGCACAAACACAATGCAATATTCGTGTTTAACTTTTTAATTTAAATTACGTTAAAAGATCCTCTCCGTCGATTAAAGTTAGGCAAAACATATACAATTGCGTATGTCTATGGGCAACGGTCACTTCGCTATTTCAGCGATTTCACGTGGCCGCTCGCTCGTTTGCCACCTTATGATTTAAAAAAAAACAAAGTCAATCATAACCTAAATAGGGTTGCCATAAATACAAATTATATACATGAATCATAAAATATAAATGTTGTATTACAAACATAAACTGTTTTAAGTTTCATAGGCTCATTGTCAATCTACGGTATCTAATCAGCAATAATACTATCCAAAAAGAAAACATAAAAAATATATATATAGTGTCTTTGAATTTATTTGCAAATATGTTTGTAAGACGATGATTTTTTTTACTGTAAGAAAGACGGATAAATAATTATTAAATATTAGTATTGTTAGGAAGAAAATCCGATGCTGTGCCGGTGTATCGGCGCAGCTCTATACTTATTAAAATATGAATGTTTATGTCCCCTCACTAATCAATCTGACACTTGGCTTGGTAACGAAAGCGCGCCATTCGCGCTAAAGGATTTTAATTATTAATGAAAATTATCGACAAATGGGAAGTAGAAGGAGGTCGGTAAGACATTCGGGCGTTGAGCTGTTTGACTGGAAATATATCTGTTTTATATAAAATCTGGAAATTGCATGTTCCAGGCGACGACTTAGGTTCATCGATGCTTAGTCAGAGCACGATGCGCCTGGAGCAGGTGACGTGCCCGTCGCTGGCGTGGCTGCTGCCCTCGCCGCTCGTGTGGCGTCCCGACGACGTCCTCGTGCAGACTGACAAGTTCAACTACACCATTGAACATTTCGAGAAGCTCTTCACGTTAGTATTTAAATATTCACATATACAGGTTTCAGTGACAAAAGATGGTCTTTTGCGATACAGTTTGAACCACTAATTTCGACCCCAGTAAGGTCTAATTCGTACGAATTTAAATGCTCTTTCTTACATAATTATATATCATTGGTACCTTTTAGTTTCCATCACTTAACAACAGATATGTTTATAATATGTAATGGTTAAATACGGGCAGGTAATATCGTCCGACAGAGTGTCGTGCAATTCCTTTTGGTCTATACTATCTTTTCCCCGCGACTTTGTTGTCGCGGTATAAAGAAAAACTGTGCCAAACTTCATCGAACTCCGTTGACCGTAATGGAGATACGTAGTAACAAAGATTCATCCAAAGTTTAACGTGTAAAATAGAATAAGTAATGTTTGTGTAGCGACATGGAGCTGCCTACTGCGTGGGAGATGCGCAAGGACACGGAGCGGTACGCGCGTGACGTCACCGCGCCCGGCGTCGAGCTGCACTGCATCTACGGCTACAACCTCACCACTGTCGAGCGGTAAGCGCCACCTCACACCTCACATCTAGCACCTCACATCTAGCACCTCACACCTCACACACTTTGTAAACGCTAGTAGCGCTCGCGACTCCGTGTGTTCGGAGTTAGAAAAAATTAATAAGTAGCCTACGTGTTCTTCCTGACTATTATCTACGTCTGTGGAAAATTTCATTAACATCCTAACGAAGTCAATCCACCAAAAATTCTGAAGTTTTGAAAAAAAAATATTTTTTTTTTTCAAACAATTGTTAGTTTACTGATTATTGTCAATAGATGGCGTTGTCCTTGTTTTGATCGCGCTTTCAAGTATCCGTCTGCCAGTAGTGTATGTCCGCGATAGTCAGGCCTCAGTTACCTTCTCAGATATGTGTAAAATATGCTTATTTTTGTAGCTCGAAGTTAGCGCATTATGTTGCTCCTTCGGCAAATATATAATTATAAAAATATATAAATAATATGTGCACAAATTTGAATCATCGACGCGAGTCGTGTATTTGTTCAGTTCAGGTATAGCGACTATATTATGCCAAATCGCCGCATTTCGTATATCACGTTGAACCGTTAGCTGCCAATTTAGTGTGAAAAGTGAAATTTGAGTCGGGTCAGAATTAATATAGTCACGATTAATGAAAAGTGTACATTTAAAAATAGACCAAAGGCATATAGAAGATAAACTGAAGAAGGAAAGAAAAGTCGGTGTTAACGTGTCGTGGTGGTGTTTAGCCTGGTGTACAAGCCGGGGTCGTGGCTGGACGGCGCCCCGCAGCTGGCGGGCGGGGACGGCGACGGCACCGTCAACCTGCGCTCGCTGGAGGCCTGCGCGCGCTGGGGCAAGGCGGCCGGAGCGCGCAATGCACGCAGACCCGTCAAGCTGGTGCCCCTGTCCGGCGCTGAGCACCTCCGCATCCTGCACGACCCTCGCGCCCTGCAGTACATACTCACCGTGCTGCAGCATTGACTCAGGTAACAGGCCACATACAAGCTTACATTATTGTAGCTCTTGCTGTTTCAAATACCTTGAATTGGGTTTCTGAGACCAAATCCTGTCTTTTATTTTTGACAAATTAGAGATAACAATATGTTTTAAGAGAAGATTTTGGGTAAAAAACCAACGTTGAATACTCTAAATTAAAATTCTCTGTGAATTACGTATCAAATAACAGTACTATGTTGTTAATTTCTTAAGAGATGAAAACTCTCTTCGTCAGATGAGTCATTTTGTTTACATCTACCGTCATCTATATTTTAATGACTTTTTTTATAAATTTTTCAGACTACCCGCAGTTTGATCACCGACGCTGTGTATAGTTACATCGCTTGCCTTTGATGCTCTTAGCTTTATATAGTGCAACATTCAATCGAAACAAATAACACGTAGACAAACTAATTTTATCTATTTTAAGTATAACTTTAATATTTAAAAGATATTAAGGGAAAATGAACATAAGTAAATGCTCTCTTTGCTGCAATTTTGCTCTCTAAAATATTGTTATAGATTCAATTCAATTATAATTTAATAAATAAGATATAAAAACGATTTAATTCTCTGACCTTGAAATGCGTTAATTTCTTCATAAGATAAATATACTCGTATTAAATAGTTCTCTTGCAGATAATATTTAGTATGCGTTAGTCTTCCATGTGATAGAAAAACCATATTATTTACATAATGTTTAGATTGTCCTTAGTTTGATATTTTATGGACTAGCGCCATCTGTTGAAACTAAACAAAAACTACTTAATAAAAATAAGTTAGTTTTTTTTCTTAAGTAATGCATAATTAAAAATAATAAACAATGGAGATTTTTTGAAAACAAATAAAAATAATTAAAAAAAAATGATGTCAAACATCATTTTTTTTTAATTATTTATAAAATATTGGAAATTGTTAATTTAGTAAAGACATAAAATACTCAAAAATATTCTCGTTAATTTCGTGCTCATATATTTTTATTTTGTTGCAATTTTTAAACGATTTTTTTGTTTTAATTAAATATTTGCTCAAGTTTATATTTGAAAACATCTTGTGGTTAGTGTTTATATTAAGTTAGTAAAATTTATAGAAAAAAAATTATGTGCAATATTTACATTTTTATTTTGCATCTACTTAAGTAATTTTACGATTAAAAGACGTTAATTTATTTATTGTGAATCAAAAAATATACATTTTTTCATAAATAAATAATACAAATAACTAGAACACTACAGATTCATAAAAAAAAACTGATTTAGAGAGATGACATGTTTTTGTACATGTTTCCATCAATGGAAACCTAAATGCATAACTTCTACTTAATTAAGTAGTTGCCGATTTAAGCATAAATGTAAAATCGTAATATTTGTAAGAACAAGACATAAGATGTCATATAACCGTAGAACTTCACTGCGGCTTCTCTACATCTAAACTAACATAAAGATTTATATTTTTGTATGTACCGAATTAACTCAAAAACTACTGAACCGTTTTAAAAAAATCTTTTAACGTTACAAAGCTAAATTATCACTCAGTAACATAGCTTATATTAATACTAGATTTTTTTACCGCTTGGATGAAATAACTAAAAGTTAGTTATAAATATTGTCGTCTCTGTTGATGACTAACAGAAGGAAAGGGATGACAATATGTAATAGAGCAGTGCAGTGGAATTCTAACAAGGCATATAATGTCGACGTATGTTTTAAGAAAAACTTATTGTAACTGAATTCATTATATAAGAAAATTTTAAAAAAAAATATTTTTTTTATATTTAAAAACATCTATTTTTCCTGTCAATTCAAGATTTATAAAATGATGTGCATGTTTTTTTTTATAATTTTAAGTCACATTTCCTTTACGCTGATACCAAAAATTATAATAAACAACTACAATATTATGTAAATATATATTTAGGAAATATTATCAAATAATAAAAAAAAACAATATATTTAAGTAAAAAATAATACATTGTAATTAATACAACGTAAAAAATATACAAAGATGTCTTTTAGATTATTGTTAAAAATTTATAATTTTGTCAGAACTTTATTTTTATCTGCAAAAAATGTTTTTTTTTTTTCGTATCTTTCAGAATTTCCGTCAATAATGTTATAAAATCATCTAATTTTAAATTCATTGTCCATTTTTGTATTTGAACAACATTTACAGATATATTTATTTCAAAGCGAGTAATGTAATAATGAAAAACAAATTATAATATTTGTACAAAACATTAGTTTTATTTGCTTCCTAAAATCCCTCAAAGTCCGGATTGTCTGCGCGTCTTCTGAAAATATTACAAAAAAACAATACGTTTGATTTATGCTTTGAAATCATATATTTTTATTATATAAAAAAATTAAACAAAAAAAAATCTGGACATAAAATAAACAAAAAAAAATTAAATTGGGGTATTTTTTTGTTAATATATTTTTTTTGGTTACATTTAAGATAAATTTCAGTTAGCACAAGATATCGAATAAAACACATTATTCGTAATAAAGTGTGTAATGTGTAAAGACTGAGAGACTAACTGCACCTGTCTCACTTCGTACAAAACAATTCACTCATTAAAACACTTTCTTCATTTATTCTGACTTCATTTCTCTAATTAATAACAATTTATCAACGGCAGTAATTTTTTATGACTACATAAATAAAAATTATCTTTTATATATTGTGAAATTTCTAACAAAAACTTATTGAATAAGAACCGAGACGTATGTCTGCATGTTTTTATACAAGTGTCGCGACATTGGAAATCCATCGGCGTCAATTTTTGACTCAATTTTACTTTTAGAACATATTGAAACACAAATCTTGGTACATTAACTTGACAAATATCAAGCTTGTATTGAACATTTTAATATTTAAAACTTTAACATTGAAAAATTATGAATTTCATACAAATAAATGATAATAGGTTTAGTAATAAATAACATAACACATTTTCAAGATCTCTCCGTTCCATTTAAATCTATATAACGATGTATATGTGCATAACATTGAGTACATAATGTTCCTTATATACAACTACATATTACTTAGGCCCTAAGTTAATACAAAAATGCAGACAACTTACAAATAAATATATAACTAATGTCTTGCATAAATCATTCAACGAATTCCATACAATTTTAACAACTACCCACATTTCTACATTCCAACTAAAATGAATAATTTTGTGAGCACAGACTTTATTTTATGGAATACACAATTTATTATATTACAAATCAAATCATTGCCTTATATACAGGGGGTTACAAATCATGGAACATATTTAAGATAATATAATTAGTAAAAAAAGTTGTGCATAATCACTTAAATCTCAACTTAAAGTTATTTTTTATAACACTGCCAACTTAATCTATAAATAAATGCCTTACCCTTACAACTATTTAAATAACATTTTATTTTTAATTTTATAAAAAGAAACAGTTAAACATATTTTTTTATATCAATAAAGTAAACTGAACATATAAACCAAATAAAGTAAAAAGAACAAAGAAAAATATGTTTTTGTTATTAAATATGCGAGACCAAATTCTCAGTATCAAACATATCGTCATCCCTGTCTTTCATATTTGACAGAACAGAGACAACGGTGTGTTTTTAAGGAGGATTTTGGTCTCATAAAACCATGGCCAATGTTTTAAACTTATCTTGTTAAACAAAAAAAAAAGTTTCTAGATTCCAAATTCAATTTATTAAAAAAAAACTTTTGGCGTGTAAGCGTTCAAGCTTATCCTAAATTATTTGTGTATTTTTGACTAAATTTTTTGGAATTATTGTATTTTGAAAAATAAATAAATAAACATAAAGCTAAGAGTAAAGGTTCTAATATCACATTTTTAAAGTAAAAGAAACATATTAAACTACATTTATACAGATTATTTCGTTCACACAACTTTACATTCTGCGTAAAAACAATTAAATAATTGTGGGGTATAAAGATCCATATTATCTTATAAAGCCTGCAAATTATGTTGGAATTTTCTCAAACACTTTGATCCCAGTAAGCCTATATTATTCAGCCACAAGGAGAAAACAAACTGTCAGTTTTTGTGTAAGTATAAGAATAAAGAAAAAAAGAAAAGATTATTTAAAAAAAAAGAACCAAACGATATACGTAGCTTTTATACATTTGTCAATGTAAGTAGAGTTAACTGTTACATACTATTAATCAAGCATTCACATACATTTGAAAAACAGTCTCCTAAATAAATAATACTAAAACTTCATACAGTCTCCATACATTGCTATATCAATGTTATACCAATTTTAGCGCAATTTCAGACAGATTTCAATAGATTTATAGAAAAACTATTTCTAACGCAATCATTAAAATTGCCGTTGCAATAAGGGCAAAACAAAGTGCCTTCATTTTTATAAATTAAAAATCAACTCTCTCAAATTTCAAACTGTCATTTTGACAACGACCTCGTGTCAGAGATGTCAGCTGTCAAAGTGACAGTTGCGTTCAAAAAAGCGTTTTAGCACTTGGTTTCGTTTCAATTTCGTCAACGATCGCTGGAACTACCACAAGCAGTTGAAATAACGCGTATCACTAGTGACGTCACCTGTCAGCTGTGAAACAAAGATGGCGGACAGTCTGTGACTGTCACAGTTACAGTCACACCGCGAATAAGAGTAAGGAGTACCCTCGGCGCTACCTGGTGAAGAGGTCGGGCCTGTAGTAGGCGTAGACGGCGAGCAGCGCCGCCGCCGCCGCCAGCGCTGCGCCTCGCGCCAGTGGGCTGCGCGGCAGCACGCGGCGTAGGCGCGCCAACACACCGTTAGCGGCGCGGTTACGACCCGCGCGCTCCACGCGACGTTGCCGGAGACGCTCCTCGTCCAAGCGGCGTTGCTCCTCTCTGTCGTATTGTAAATATTAATACAACATTAATAAGTTTATAACAAGTTTTGTAAATAAAGTTTGTGACATTGCGCACCTCATGGCATAACACAACTAACTAAATGTTTTTAGCATGAAATAATGGGGAAATTGTAAGAAGATTTAAACTCACTCTCTTCTCTCCAAGGCGTCGACTTCGGCTTCCAGGTCGGTCGGGTCGTTTTCATCGTAAAGCTTCTTAGCGGTCACCAAAATATCTTCGAAAGGCAAGTCATCTGGTAACTGAAACGTATGTATGTAAGGGTTTAAATTCCTAGAAAATTAACCATACATTGTGATATTTGTATTTGCATAAAAATGAAACACAAGGAAAAAGAGGGATGTGGCAGTATGTGGGGTACATACCCTGGAGAGCAGGCAGTGCATCATGGCCATGTCGACGTCGCAGGCGTAGACTGCGGGCGCGCGGTGCAGCACCAGCGCCGCCGTCACGTACACGGGGAAGAGCGGGGGCGCGCACAGGAAGTAGTCGTACAGCCGCACCACGTCAGAGTACCGGTTCAGGCTGTGCCCGAACCACGTCAAGTACCACGGCAACGCGAACATCGTGCCCACGCCCGCCCTGATAACATGATAAGTACTTATATTATATTTACCACAAAATTTAATAACACATTGTTACCTACCAATGCACAATAAACTATTAAACCCATATATTAATTGTATCTCATACTTGTCCAAGCAATCGGCCAGCTTATCATCAGCTCTTCGTAAGACAGGCAACATGTAATTGAGCAAATGCTGTGTAGGCTGCATGGTGGTCTGCATGAACGGCGCCAGAGGAGCTGTAGGTCCGTACGAAAGCCGGCACAGCAATGGAAACGATGCTTTATCACCACAGACCAGCAACAATGTTATTGCCACGTCATGGTAACCCTAGAAGTACATAAATTTAGATTATAATAAATTTTTTGCCCCTTCCATGCATCCGCACATCCGGAAAGTCCACTTCCACTTCCCATCCTTTCCTTATGAGAAAAAGGGTGGGAAGGGAAAGTGGACTAAATTAGGCCTCTGGGACGCCCACTCATCAGACGAAACGCGGAATTACTTCCACTTGACGCCTGTCTTCTATGTGGTCGTAGTATTTCACCGGGTGAGCCGGGCCAATTCGTGCGAAGATGTTAAAGCGGGCTCTACCACAGTTATGTTTGTTTTAATAAGAATGTTTGGTATATAAAATGTCACTTACCTGGTAATACTTCAAATGTGGGTACTTAATGATGACTCTCAGTATGAGCACAGTGAGCTGGTCCTGCAGCGCCACTCTCTGCTCGTACGGAATGCCTGGAGGGAACCGTTTCAGTGAACGATTCACATCTAATACCACCTGCAAGTTTTTACAGTTTTGGATTTCATTTGAAATTCATCACATTTGTCTTAAAAGTACACAAATTTAAAAATTCTATTATTCATTGGTGTGTTTTTATTTAGTTGACCCTTAAATTTTTCAAACTGATATTGAGACATAATAAACTTATTTAAAAATGGCTGCTTCCGCGAAATAACACCAGTCCCACTCACTCTGATAAAGGCCCCTTAATGGGCTTAAAACTAGTCAGTGCAGCCACCGGACGAATATGCATGAGTATTTTAGCCAGTTTTATATAAGTTTAAATTGACCCTCATAGTATAGAGTTAAATATCTTATTAGATTGCTTAATGACTCCTTTAAGTACATATAGGGCTGGCAGCTGTTATAGATATAGAATAGATACAAACTTGGTTATATTCAACATGCGTAGACAATTCATCAAGTGAAGGAGGTTCCGTCATCTCATCTCGAGTTACCCCAACAAGCAGGGGCCAGATTCTTCTCCTGTATTCATCTGTCACACAGGAAATTAATTGATATTACTCCTAAACAAACACCAAAACATTACATTTATATAATTTGAAATATAAATTGCGATACTTTAAACATAATGGAATGGTTGCTATATCATAATTGTGCATTAAAACTGTTTTGTGATAGCATTTGCTTCAACTAATTTTTAAATGTTAAAATTATAGTGTGTTATTGACAACTTTACCTACCAAATACAGAATTAATTATTAAATATACATGTTGTACAATCTTATCATATATGAAACATATAAATCATGACAACTATTGTGACAAGTGGAAAAACACAATACTTTTAGACAAAATGAAATACCTGCTATTAGTCCTCCTTTGCTTTTTGCAAAACTTTGCCACTTTTCTATGTTCACAATATCAGGGTTTTCCAAACATTTTTCCATTTCTTTACGTTTTGCAGTCACATCTGGATCTTCGAATTCGAAATCTTAAAGAGAAACATAGTAACTGCGTTATTTACAGCACTCAATTTACCTAACAAGAAAGCAGAGGCAAGTGAACAACACACTAATCAGATACTTGGAGTGGTAGAATAGTATTGGTTTAGGTCACTGCATCCCAAGAATTACCGATTGTTTACAATACCTTCGTCGAATTTTAACTCGGAAGGAGTTGATATGTCATCAATATTTTTTGCATGATTCAAGTCGATGGAGATATTCTTCGTGGGCGGTGAGCAGTTCCCATTTAAATTACATGTGTCGCCTATGTTTGATTCCTGATTTTTATCTTCCATTGTAGAAAATTAAAATTTATTCGAGAAAAAACATTACACCATCCTCTTCCCTTAGAGAACGTGATGACATTTCGTTTTACTTTCGTTACTAAATGTCACGTACAAGGTCTTAAAATTAAAACTATAAATATACATTTTAATACTTCCTAACATTCAATAAAGTTATGAATTATAACGATATAATTACATTTATATAATAATTAAGCGTTAATTTTCCTTTCCACTATTTATAAGTATAAAAGATTCTCTTTAAAAAAAATGTAAAGTGTTGGAATCTCTGATTTTTGAACGTTCGTGAAATGACAGGAAAGTTCCTTTCTACGCATTATAATAAATACAAAGGATTGTGATTTTTATTTTTGTTTGTTTTTTATTTAACATTTTGAAAAAAAAATTATGACAGCGTCAATGATAACCATCTCGATCAAGTAAAATTATACAAAAGTGATTAAAAAAAGGATAAATTTCTTATGATTACTCACCTTTATTCAAATGGATTTAAAAGCTATTCCGGATGACTCTAAAATCAGACAAATTGAGGATATAATAGACATTCAAAAGGCTAACGGAAATATTAATTCTCGGCAAGTGGCTTTTAATTTAATTCCTAAAACGGACAGTACTATTTCGGCAAATTTGGCAAAGAGCTTAGATTCTGGATTATCAAAACTCAAAGCTAATATACTTAAGAAAAATAAAAAGGTAAGCCACAAGAGAAATCTTAGTCCTTCACTCGATGGAGCATCTTGGCCTAGTGACTCAGACATCACAGTACTGCGAATGAAACTATATTTGACGAGCGCTGCAAAGAAAGATGTGGGGAATATAATTCCGGGAGATGGTCTTCATCAACCAGACAGCTCGTCTATGATAAATCTAGCAACACTTATGATGCATTCTCAGTCGCCGTCAAAACAAAATTTAAGCATCGAAGAGTATCTATTACCTATTAATTCATGGGAACAAACTATAAAACCAGAATCAAATGAATTTAACAAAAAAAGAGACACACATTTCCCCCCTGAAAACTTTCAGTTGCCACAAGTTTTAAACTTATCTGCTAATCTTCACTATCCACCAAAAGAATTTTGTTTAAGTGATAATAATTTAATGTATGGAAATAATATTAAGTCTAAATTGGCAAGATTTTTACGTTTATACTTTTGTCCTTGTTGTACATGTTTATACAACTTGGAAAATATGCAAAATGAACCATCGTCGTATTTCACAAAAAAAGTAACGTTCATGGATGCCAAAAGTTCATAAGTGTTTTTTTCTAATAATTTTAAAATATAACTCAACGTTAATGTCTTTAATTAAAATAAAAAATAGTTTAAATCTGTTTTATTGAAAAACTGAAGCGTCCTTAAACATGCGACATTTATTAATAGAGGAAATTAGTCACATTCAATGTCAATTATAATTAAGTTTACGTGCGAGTTAAAAATTTATGATATTATATATGTAATAGCTTCATGCTTTTAAACAATACTTGTCAAGGGCAATAATAAATATTACAGGATTGAAATTTAATAACTAGACCTGTATTACTTCGTTCTTCAAATTTATTGCGTAACCAGCTGTCACCTGTAAATCCGGCCGCGCGGAATTAAAAAAAATGTAAAAAGTAGCCTATATGTTCCTTCCAGACTCCGTTCTATATCTATGCCAAATTTCTTCAACATCCGTTGATCTGTTCCTACTAAAAAAACTTTCGCATTTATAATTATAGTAAGATAAAGTCTAGGGCACGATATAGCGATAGCTCGCGTCGCAATAAATTTCTCGATTCATTATAACCTAAATATTTTTTTAAGTGCAACATTACATCATTCAATTAAACCGTTCCAATAAACCAGTTAATATTTTCTTTATTTGCTACTGATCTCGAATAAGTTCTTAAAACATGATAATTGCGTCAGCGAGCGCCTTGGTCACCGCATTGTCATCGATTGAATTGCTTTATGATCACTTTCGACTTTTCCGACATCCGAGAATCGATCCGTCACTTCACACTTCAGTGGCAGACGAAATTATTTTTGAACTGCTAACTATTTTACCACTTCATTTCAAGCGTATTAAGGAACTAAAATTTAGTCGCATATATGTTCGTTTTCATTTATATTTCTTAATTCTTCCAAATTCCAAGACATATGGCTAAAGTATCTACATGTTTACTTAAATCAAACTGTTGAATAAATAAGAAACAAAGTGGCCAAGTATTTTTACGATTTTTATCGAATTCGTCCAATTCGTTGTATTATTGGCAAACAGTTACATTTCTTTAGCCCCACATTGGTTTGACGTCGCGGAGGCAGAACCTCGGCAAGTTATAAAGCGCAGAGAAAGCGCGCCGTCCGCGCAGTCTCTTCCCGCTCGGCCGCCTAGCTCCGGCCGTTTCGCGCGCTTTTCTGACAGTTCCTGTGTTGCTACACGAGCAAATAAGTGAATTAATCCAAAATGAGAATAAGGTAAATATAATTATGACTTTACGGTCTCCGATTTTTATAGTTTTTTATGTTCTAATTTCTTTTGTAATATGTCTATTACTTTCTATTTCTGCACTTACAATTAAATACATGTAAAAACTAATAAAGTTCTGCAAAATTTTCTAAAAACAGAAATTTCCATTTTACATTTTACCATCTATTATTTATTTATATTTTAATAATAATTTTAATTGTACTTTCTCTTTCTACAAACAATATACTTAAATGAAATAAAGACGGTAATCTTTTTAATTACGGTTTCATAAATATGACATGGTGAAATGGCTATGTAGTGTAACATTAAAATGCATACATATTTTCTAATTAAAATGAGGTAGCAATTCTTTAAAATATTTAAAATACTTTCGCTACTATTTTGACTTTCTCCATGACTCGATACATTACTTTGGGTTTTACGAAGATCCTTCAAGACAAACATGCCTCTAATTAATATAGTAATAATTCTCGCCGGCAATGGAATGCCGTTCTTAATTAAAATGATTATGTAAGACTTACTATGAATTCAAGGAATAACTATGTGTACCCCAAATTTTGCTTAGCTCTGCATCCTTTTGTGGGCCATGTCTCGGACGAGCAATTTCTTCCACCTTGGTGTTTTCGTTGCTATTCTTCTCTAATTCACTATTCCAACATCTTTTGCGTTACGACTTACACATTCCAATATCTTTTGACGATCTTCAAGTCAGCTCGCCATAAGATATTTGGGCACCCTGACTTCGTTTATCCTTTGCACCAAATCTATTTAATTAAACAAAGTTAGAACTAAAGTGTTAACGTGTAATATTAGAAAAGAAAAACATTTTTCGGTCAAGAGATATATTTATACTTTACTTGTAAGGAAAAAGTAATTTTTAAAATTTTCGTCTGTCTGAATATTGTCTATAATCGATTAATATTTTAATACACGGATTAATTACTAGGTAATTATTATTGTACGGTATATGTAATGCAAATACGTTACGTTTAATGTAAGTTCAATAATGATTAGTAACAAAAAGTATCGAAGTTATTCAACACGCGTCTATAATAATATATATAACAGAACCAAATCATCCGAAAAAATTAAACTGAATGCTTGCCGGTTACGGATATTAAATTAATTAATTGTATATATGAATAATTTATGTTGTAATTTAAACATTTCTTGTCTAAGTAAATGCCATAGATCGGCAAAACTTTGTCTTATTCTGCCTTACGATTTCTAGACTGAACTTTATTCTTAAATCGAAAAAGTAGCGTTAGCAATATGAAAGGTAGACTAGTTCATATTTAGATCCTTATTACTTAACTAGCTGTCGCCCGCGACTCCATCCGCGCGAATTAAAAAAAAACTATTGGTCGCAGCGTAATGTTATATAGCTTATGCCTTCCTCTATAAACGGACTATCTAACAAAAAAAATTTCAAATCGGATCAGTAGTTTCTGATATTAGCGCGTTTGAACAAACAAACAAACTCTTCCGTTTTATAATTCGAGATTCTGACATAAGTTTAGTTTTGAATTACAATTTTAGATACGATGTCTTTGAGCAATGATTAGCTCGATTTAATGCTTGGTTTACATTACGCCAGTACAGTAGGACAGTAAGGCTGGCCTGGCATGGACTGTATAGGCTCAGAGGAAGAATAGAGGAAGGGTTTAGGCTATATACCATTACGCTGCGACCAATAGTTTTTTTTTTAATTCCGCACGGACGGAGTCGCGGGCGACAGCTTATTTTTAATATAATGTCAACGAATCAAATAAGGATGTAAGTTATTTGTTTACTAAAAATAACAGCATAGTAAAAAAATTCCATTGACTTTTACAAAGATAATGTAATCCGGTTTTAAAATAAGGTCATGGAGGCAGTTTTTGAGATACTTAACTATTTTTTTTTAATTTTAGACTAAATTCAGAAAAAGAGAGGAATGCAATCAAAATACTTCCGAAACTAAAAACGTTTAATACATGACCACAATGAAACAAAATTAATAAAGGACTTTCGACCTAAACATCGTAGGTTTTGTTGCTAGATTTCCTTGGCTTGTTACAAATAAACTAACCTTTTTGGATTTATTGATACTTTTTAGATTTAGATTGTATTCGAAAGATTAAAAAAGCATAATGTCTTCTTATTCCAATTCCATTTTTATTTAAATAATCATAAATTATTAGAAATACCTTAATAAATTTCGTATTCTGACAGGCAAAGGGTATAAAAACGTAACATTAACCAAAAAAATAAAGTTTTTAAACAGGTACATAAATATTGGCTAAACAAAGAATTTAAAAAAAACAACGATAAACAAACGTTGACATTTGGACCAGCTATAACTTATGATCTTACGATTACCTGCATCTTAAAACCTTTGTGTTTTAAATTATTTATTGCACAAAGCAAGTGACCAGATCCGTGTAACATGATAGGTACGTACCTGAATTGGGTTCATATAAATTAATGTAACAAAATATATAGACGCATACTGAAACATACGATCAAAGCTTTATTCAGAGTCTCTCTTCAATTAATTAGGTATCATAAGGTTTACGGTAATGATTTTACGGAAATATGTAATACTAAC